CTAACACACACACACACACGGTTTTATTGCTGAAATCATGGAGTCCCTCAGAGACACACAATGCTTCATGCAGTTTCTAAAAGTTCTCAAAATCACACTATTGTTAAAAAGATGATTTAGTTCCTTGAAATGTTCAGTTTTTCCACACGGGTTGAGTTCAGTGGCACTGATGCTTGATTTTTGTGCCAACGTTAGGAGCTGCAATGTTCAAGCGAGTCAAAACATCTCCCAGAACCCACAGCTGGGAAGCAGTCCTGGTGAAAACGAAGCGAGATGTTCTTGATTCTTCCCTCAGCTGATGCTGTTTGATCGTCACATTGTCCTGGAAAAAACATCTTGCTACCTGAGCTGCACGAGAGATTCATTAAACTCATTCTGATGTTGGGAAATGCTGAGTTTCACATCCTTCAGGACTGGTTTCAGTTCATGACCAAAATTCCCCACAGAAAGACTCTCATTCCAGGACTTTAGTTTAACACGAGAGAGCAATAAATCAACTGAAACTCAGATCTACTCCAAATGATGAAAAAAACAACACTGAGCATGTCACTAAAGTGCATGCAGAATATGATTGTAGCTTCATCCACTGGATGTTTGAGCATTAAAATAAGAATCGATTTGAAAAGGTTGATTTGTCGTTTCTATTACATTAGTGTGAGTTTGGCGTCCCTCGTCTGTGCAACTTAATCATTTATGTTAAAGGAAACCAACATCCTTCCATTAGGACTTGAATGTAAGAATAGTGCAGACGCTCAAGCATTCAAATGCCTACAATTAATCTGGCGGTTCCCATGGGAATCGAACCCGTGAGCCTGGCGTTGCAAGCGCCACACTGCACCACTGAGCTGCAGTCAATGAGCACAAGTGCAACAGAGTCAAACATCCAGAAAAACACGACGATCACACGTCTGTCAGCACATCTAAACCTGTTATAATTAAACCACTCGTTTATTAAAGATGAATTCAGAAGGATGGATGATGGGCGCTTGGAACAAGTCGTTTGTGATTCCAATAAACACAGTGCGAGAGGATGTTAAAATGTATTTAACTTAAAAATAAATTGTATAAAACAAAAAATAAAAGGCAAAAGAAACAAGAAAAACATGAATAAAACAAAGACCTTCACCATCACAAGAATCATGCAAATGAATGAAAAATGGTCTAAAAATAGCTTAAAACAATCATAATCCACACACATGTGGGACAAACACAGAGAGCCTTCGGTGAGAATAATGCAGTAAGAAAGGAGTCTCTCAGGTCCTGATGAATAAAACGCTTCATATAGATAGATGTGAATGAGTGTAGAATTCACAGTTTGCCGCTGAAGTGGATGGTGTGAAGGAAAGTCCTGCTGATGGTGAACCCTGTAAACACCAGCACAACGGATGGAGGGAAGCGCTGGTGTTGGTGCGAAGGCAGTCAGTGCAATAGAGCCACGCCGGCGGATCTGAGGAAGCTCTGCAGAAGCAGCTCAGACGTCTCACGGCCGGTGAAACCTGTCACACACAGAGCATGAGCGGACTTACCAACTGTAGTCTGTTACTGATTACAGTAATCTACTGGATTACACGTATGTGACCCTGCAGCACAAAAGCAGTCAATATATCAAAACTTAATTTTTGATTAGTAATATGCATTGCTAAGAACTTCATTTGAACAACTTTAAAGATGATTTTCTCAATATTTAGATTTTTTTGCACCCTCAAGATTCCAGATTTTCAAATAGTTGTATCTCAGCCAAATATTGTCCTATCCTAACAAACAATACATCAATGGAAAGATTATTATGTATAAATCTCATTAATGACTGGTTTTGTCCAGGGTCACATATTAGTTAATGTATTCAGACTACTTTTAGATTACTTTAGAGTTTAGTTCGACATCATGAAGTGTATTAAACATTCAATTACACCTGGGTTTCCCAAATCAGGGATTGTGATGAAAAAGTAATAACTAATTAACTCATTTAAAAATAAAAATAAATGAAATGAAACACTTGAACAGTGAAAATAGAAATATTTCATTTATCTGCATGTCTCTTTAATATGAAGGTACTGATTGTATGCATCAGTTCAATATGCAGGTGTGAGACGAAGCTGCTTCACCTGGTCAGATGACGGCACACTCTCTCACTCACACTCTCTCTCTCACACTCTCTCTCTCACTCTCACTCACACTCTCACACTCACACTCACACTCTCACACTCACACTCACACACTCACACTCACACACTCACACTCACTCACTCTCACTCACTCTCTCACTCTCACTCACTCTCACACTCACACACTCTCACTCACACTCACACTCTCTCACTCACACTCTCTCTCTCACACTCTCTCACTCACACTCTCTCTCTCACACTCTCTCACTCACACTCTCTCTCTCACACTCTCTCACTCACACTCTCTCTCTCACACTCTCTCACTCACACTCTCTCTCTCACACTCTCTCACTCACACTCTCTCTCTCACACTCTCTCACTCACACTCTCTCTCTCACACTCTCTCACTCACACTCTCTCTCTCACACTCTCTCACTCACACTCTCTCTCTCACACTCTCTCACTCACACTCTCTCTCTCACACTCTCTCACTCACACTCTCTCTCTCACACTCTCTCACTCACACTCTCTCTCTCACACTCTCTCACTCACACTCTCTCTCTCACACTCTCTCACTCACACTCTCTCTCTCACACTCTCTCACTCACACTCTCTCTCTCACACTCTCTCACTCACACTCTCTCTCTCACACTCACACTCTCACTCTCACTCACACTCTCACTCTCACACTCTCACTCACTCACACTCTCACACTCTCACTTACACTCTCACACTCACTCACTCTCACACTCTCTCTCACACTCACACACTCTCTCACGCTCACATTCTCTCACTCACTCACACACTCACTCACACTCTCTCTCACACTCTCTCACACTCTCACTCACTCTCTCTCACTCACACACTCACACTCACACTCACTTACTCACTGAGCGCTTCAGGTTTTGTGCGAGAGCAAATTAAATCCGCGTGCAAGCGGGGAGATTCGCGCTCGAGCATTATATTAATGTGCTTTCGCGCTACAATAATGCGCTCTGACATTTGTCATTAAAATAACGCCATACACTCACACTTACACACACTCACTCACTCACACACTCTCACACACACACACACTCTCACACACTCACTCACTCACTCACCTTGCATGAGAGCCGGCGTCTGATCTCTCTCTTCTCCTCCATCTGCTCCTCCTCATTACGAGCTGCAGGTCAGAGGTCAAAGGTCAGAGGTGCTTTCACATCACACACATGCGGTGTTAAAGTCTGAATCGAGATCACTGCACTGTTTACTTCAGACATGTGAGGATCTGGTTTCATCCATGAGGAACAGACTGCATCATGGGAAGTGAACATTGGTGTGCAAGTGTCTCTCTGGGCTCTGGACTCACGTTTGAGGATGTTCCTCTGCTCCAGCTCTTCAGCCGTGGGTCTCTGGCTCAGTCTCCTGTTTAAAACACACAATTTATATTACAATATTTACAAACCATTCTTTCATGACCTACACTGCTATATTGTCTTTCCAACCTGTTTGCTTCCAAATCACATCAGAGAGACACGGCTGTGCAAGCCATCAAATGCCTTGTTTACTGTATATTTATGTGCTCAACGCATGGGACCAAATTAACAATTCTGTGCCATTTTGCAAATGAGGCCATTATCTAATTAAATATTCACTAATTTGCATACATTTCCAGAAGAGGTTAGTCTGAACGTTCAGGTTAATAATTCCTCTTTGATTTTGTTGTCATATTAGAGTTAAAGGTTTTTCCAGAGGGGATTCTGGATTTCTCTTTTTATCACTCCATAAATAAGAAAATACTGTCAAGAGACAGAAGACATTTTCACCATGTTTTTAGGAGTAAAATGTGGTATAAATTGGTGAGAATGAAATATAAACAAACCTTCAGAATATAGAGATTCTGAAGGTTTGAAGTATTTTTGATGTTTTCTTTCCACTAGTCTGAAAGAAGACTCTGTCTTCTGAGAAATTGAGCATCGCATTACAGCTGCAAACGTCTGGCTCCTCCGATAACCGCAGTAATGCAGTGTTTGTGTGACACACATGACAATCAGTTATTATACAACCTAAGGTGGTTTCAGTCACACTGTAATAATGACAGTCACTGATGTCATCAGCATACACAGGTTATTTCCTCGAATGTCTTTACTGCAGTATTTGACTCATCTCACGCTCAGGGGTGTGTGTGTGTGTGTGTGTGTGTGTGTGTGTGTGTGAGTGTGAGAGTGTGTGTGTACCGTGTGAGTTTGGTGCCGATGAGCTGTCTGGACTGCAGTCGCTCCTCATCCGTCTTCACAGGTAAGATGTTCTTCTCCTGCAGATCTCTCTGAGACGGTCTTGTGAGTTTGGTGCCGATGAGCTGTCTGGACTGCAGTCGCTCCTCATCCGTCTTCACAGGTAAGATGTTCTTCTCCTGCAGATCTCTCTGAGACGGTCTGTTACTCAGCTTCACCACCAGAGAGTCCTTCCTCAAGATCTTCAGGGCCAGTGCGTCTGAACACAGACACAGACACACGCACACGCAGACACAGACACAGACACGCACGCACACAGAGTGAGCCCTGACTGCCTCATTACAAAAGGACAAATCAATGAATCTGCCATAACCCACCAGCAAACACAAACGGTTTCAAGACTAACTTGTAAAGAGCGAATCGTCGTCATCGTCGTCCTCCTCCTGCTCTTCATCCTTATACATGCTGGGCAGGTCCTCGTAGTCAGACTCGTTGGGGATGTTCTCTTTATCATCGTGACAGTCGATCGCCACGGCCGGGAGAGGAGCGCTGTACTGACCCGCGTGAACCGCAGAGCTGCAGGAACACAACACACCAGCGGTCATGTGACAGCAGAGACTTCTGGGACAGATACTCGCTAGGATGATCTCAAAGCATCTGTGATACACACTTCACCGTACATCACACATCCACCAAACACTGAGACGTTAAAGCTGATGAAGAGCAGTGAATTAATCAGTGTTTTGAACAAATCGGTTGAGTGAATAATTCAATGACTCATTCATAGAGTCACTTGCCATCACCTTCTGGTGTATCCGTGTAACTGCAGAAAGAGTCTGCAATGTAAAATCCCTCCTCTAAAACACAGACAGACAGTCTATCTGAATACAGATGAATGCAATGCAGTGAAACCTGTTTCATCAGCACGATTAGACACTTATCGGCCAATCAGACTCCAGCACCTCAACTAAATGATAAGATATAAGCTACTCAGGCTCATTGGAAATACGTGCCTCTACCCATGTATCTGCAAAACTCAAAAAATGTACCAATACGTACAAATCGCTGCAGTTTCCAGTTGAAATGAACACTAGAAGCAGCAAAACTCACACAAAATCTGATTTACAGGGCCAGAGTTGATTAAGAAAGCCTCATTTTCACTCAATTCCTTGCACAATATTATGTTATGACCTCATCTATTTTAACATGCTGCGAGATTTGAAAACTGATACTTTTGGATATTAGTGTTACATATACAGCTTCCTATGTATGGGTTTTCTAACACAGCAGGTTTGCTCAGTAGTGTTGCACTTGTGAGGTGAAGCACTCCGGTATGAATCCCGCGAAACTAGCGTTCAACAAAATCCACATGGAAGTTAAAATGGCATGGTTGCATCAACAAATGCGTTTTTATGTCACTTTTGCATTTGTTAACACTATTGGGTAGGTTTAGGTGTAGTGGGAATGTTTTATTTCCAACACGTTAGAGCACATAGTCACGTATTGAATGTACATTTTAGTGCCACTCACTTTGAAACTTCCATGAAAGTGCAATAAGGCACGCAACATTTGTTTTGCAGAAGCGTCACCACAAGCACATATTTTCAGTGAGCCTGGGTTGAATATAAGAGAGTAGGGCTGATTAACACATATATAGTCTATGATAATACTGTAGTTGCCGTTTTAATGATGGGGAAGCTGATATTGAATATGTCACTCGCTTTGCAAAAAGAAAAAAAACTTTGACAGTATGTTTATATCATATGATATAGTTTTTACTGATTATCAGCACAATATTCAAATGTGAGTTCAATAAACAAGTACTTAACATTAGGTAACTTTTTTACATTTTTAACACAATATTCTCTGTCTTTGCTCAATTTCACCAAGAAAATAATGTCCACTGTGTGAGCAGTGAAACTGTGTTCATTACTGGATGAATCAGTGTTTTGGAACGAATCATTTGAATCAGTTGAATGACTGACTGAATGACTCACTAATTAAGACCACCTACTGGTGCTTTTAGTTTAATGTTTAAAGCATTTAATTTTTAAAAATGTTATATTTCTAAACTCAGATTTTTATATCGTTATTTATGCAATTGCAGCCGCAGTGTAAATGCATTCATGTCACCTCTGAGCTGCATTAAACAGTCAGTGTAAACACATGGAAATGCTGCTTCAGATGCAGCTTCTGTAAAATGAGAGCGTGCGAGTTTGACAGCTGCAGTACTGGGTCAGATGGACTTTATCTAGCATCCGCAGCGGCTGGCAGTCAATCAGTGAGTGCTGGTTAACTGGGCCATGGAGTCTGTGGTGGGTAGTAAGCTGGGTCAGAACCTCACTCAGAGATCGCCGTCACACAAGGGATACAACTAATGGTTATTTTGATAATCGAGTCGGCTGTCGATTACTTTCTTTCCATGTTTTCACAGGTATACAGTAGGGGGCGCTGTTACGGACCTTTTAAAAGAGTACAGCATCTCTGCATCCGCAGCTAACATGATCATCAAACATTCAACAGCATATAAATCAAAACTAATGTTACTGAATAAAATAATAAACGCACGACACTATGGGTGTGTTGATGGACTTCATCTACTCGAAAATCTGTTTTGATAATGATTCTGAATCTGATCCGGATGTAATTTTCTCAGCTTTTTGTTTGATGTTTTTTTTTGGGGGGGGGCAAAGAAGATTTTTTTTTAAATGCTGACGCTTTTTGGCAATTTTTAAAACAACGCTGACGGGTTAAATAATTTAATCCATACTAAAAATGTTATTCTTCACCCTGCCCAATGTTGTCCTCCAAACAATGTGTAATTTGAAGCCTATGAAAACTAATCTAGTGAATATATCTATGTAGGCTCTGCTATACATTGTGTAAAAAAATTGTTAAATTATATTCTAAAACAAAAAAACAACTGCTTGCTTACCATTTTACAGTAAATTAAAAATGATAATAAAACACACAAGCACAGACTTGATGTTACTGTTTAACTAACGGTTACTAACTTTACTGTTAGCGTTTCCATAAAAATACAATCACAAATGTAGAATTTTAAACCTGTTTAAAATTAGAATTATTGCGTTAAAACATAAATCATTCTCAAGCACTTTCCCCGCAGCAGCTTCTCTGTGTCCTCTGCTGTTCAAAGGTTTGGGATCAGAACGATTTTTACTGTTTTTTAAAGAAGTTTCTTCTGCTCATCAAGGCTGCGTTTATTTGATCAAAAATACATTTAAAAAAATCTAATATTGTGAAATATTATGATGTAAAAGAAAATTTTTCTATTTTAATATACTATTAAACTGTAATGTATTTCTGTGATGCGCAGCTGTATTTTCAGTTTTTAATTTATCAAAGAATCCTGAAAAAAGTCTCACAGGTTCCAAAAAAATATTAAGCAGCAACAGTTTCTAACATTGATAATAAATCAGCATATTAGAATGATTTCTGAAGAGACAGAGACACACACAGACACACACAGATACAGACACAGACACACACACAGCACATCAGCAAAAGTACCCACAATCCTCTGAGCATCAACATCACGCTCGTGAAGATCACACTGCAGTGTATGGACAAGATTACATTCACATGACGACAGCATTCATGTGTCTGAGTGAACCAGAGGAAGCGTCTTCACCATTAAATCAGCTTTTATTACCGTTAACTAAAACCATGAAAGAACATTTTCATTCACTGAAAAATAAGTTAAAACTGAAATGAAATAAAATATTTAAAAAACTAATAAAAGTAACAAAAAAAACAGAAATTAAAACAGAAAATATAAAAATAAAAGCTTATTCAAAATATTAACAAAAACTATAATAGCATATCAATGACACTGATTTAAATATGTAATTGTTTCAAAATAATCACGGCATACATCTATTTATCCTAAACTTTTCTATTTTAATTCACATGTTGTATGACAGTAAATCTAAGACATTTTAAAACCCAAATTAAGAAAAAGGAATTAAAGAATGGAGAATACAGTTTAGAAAATAAAAATAGTTCATAGCTTGAATATTTCTGCTTCCAAACACTAGAATATGGAAATAACTGAACCTTCACTGCAGAAAAGTGTTGTTCTTCCTCACTATTTGTGGCTTGTTTTCCAATGTTACTCCCAATTTTATTTTGTGAAACAAATAAACAAATATCATAGTTTGTCACTTGAAAATGAATGAAAGTCTTATTGGTTTAGAGCAACAATAGGGTAAATTAATAATTTTTTTGGTTTGCAAAGACTTTTTGCTTCAAATCAAAGTGTTTGATGTTGTAAACAATCAGAGCTGTTGGCGGATTCATGACTCACTCGTTACTCAATAACGTTTGAAAATCTTCATGGAGAAATGCTCTTTATCATGACATTATGATTGGTCAGTCAGGAGTAGGTCTGTTTCTCACCTGTGCTGTGATTGGTCAGTCTGGAGCAGGTCTGTTTCTCACCTGTGCTGTGATTGGTCAGTCTGGAGCAGGTCTGTTTCTCACCTGTGCTGTGATTGGTCAGTCTGGAGCAGGTCTGTTTCTCACCTGTGCTGTGATTGGTCAGTCTGGAGTAGGTCTGTTTCTCACCTGTGCTGTGATTGGTCAGTCTGGAGCAGGTCTGTTTCTCACCTGTGCTGTGATTGGTCAGTCTGGAGAAGGGTTTGGGCGGCAGGGCGGGAGGCTGTTTGTGGATGAGCTGAGGTTTGGCGGGCGGCTCCTGAAGGTCACTGGGGAAGGTGACGGTTTTCTTGGGAGGAAGCGTGAGCGACTTGAGCGTGTTGTCCTGAGCACATACGCCTCCATCCAGAGACACGCGGAAGTCAAGGGCGGCTGAGAGAACAAAGCATCAGGAACACATGAGGAACATCATCACTCCCATGAGCCTCTACTGTCCTGCGAACTCTGAGAAGAAAGAGAGCCGGACGCAGCAGAACAAAGCACATTATTCAGCTCATGATGCGCTTCGTTATCTAAGCCCAACTCATTAAAAACAGCCGTTAGCTAAAGCAGCGCTTTCATGTGCTTTAATTATCTTGACACACACAACATCTGAATCCAGAGCCTCACACGTGACTGAGCTGACGGTAAAACACTAAAAATAGTGTTAGAATAATGATCCTCACACACACACACACTCACACTCTCACACACACACTGGTCAGCTATCCTTGTGGGGACTCTCCATAGGCGTAATGTTTTTTCTACTGTACAGACCGTATATTCTGTTGCCCTACACCAACCCTACCCCTACACCTACCCCTCACAGGAAACTTTCTGCATTTTTAGATTTTCAAAAAACTTCATTCTGTATGATTTATAAGCTTTTGTACCCGTGGGGACCACAATTTAGGTCCCCACCGTGACACGAGTCCCCATGAGTCTGTGTGTAGTCAGGTTTAAGTCCCCACCAGGATATATAAACCAGTACACACACACACTCACTGACCGGTGCTCTGTCTGTCCTCCGCGGTCCGCTCACAGTCTGAGAGCAGTCCGTTCTGCATCCGGCCCGCCGGCGTCACAGCCGTGATTCTGGAGTCTGAGCCAGAACAAACACACATCAATCAGCCGCACTTCTGCAAGATTAGGATGATTCCTGAGGAGCACTTACAGTGTTAGCAGGATTCACATCACATCAACAAACACACATCATTTAGATATAAAAGCTCATATTCTACCCTGATTTTAACCTTTTATTTTGAACAGTCGGTTTAATACGGAAGCCCATTTCTGCCACTGGATAAGAACAAAAATAAATTTAATAATTTAACATTTAATCTCACAATTCAGACTTTTTTTCCTCTCAAATTTGTGAAAATGTGTCAGAATTATGAGATAAAAACTCACAATTTCAAGTTTACAGCTCAAAATTCTGTGTTCTTTTCCTCTGAATTCTGAGTTTATATTTTAGAATTCTGTTTTTTTCTGAATTAATTTATATTTTAGAATTGAGTTTTTTCTCTGAATTCTGAGTTTTTATCTTTATTGTAATCGCCCACTGCTGTGATTGGCTAACATCTTTGCATATCAAATAAGTATTACACGTGGAACTCTTTTGAAAATGTTTACTACATCTTTACTATTTCAGCTGCTGAGATGAAGTCGTGGTGAAGAGCGTTGACTGTGTGTTATATTCAGATCTGCTCTCACAAACACACTGATCTCACCACTGCAGCTCATCTCTGCTCTCTCACGAAAAATTAATATTCATATAAAATTGTTAAATTAATAAAGAATATTATGTTTGATAACTGTAGTCTTATGATTATTAAGTTACAAATGAACATGAGAGCTGAAGTGTTAATATTCAAAGTTCTCGTCATCTGTGGCATGAGTCAGGAGTCAGTAGACTTGGCTGTTTTAATGTTCAGTGTTCAATAGTGTGATGTGAGTGCATTTATAAAGCGGAGAGTTCCGGTGCTTGATTCTGATTGGCTGAGCCGCGTTCGAAGCTGTTGTAAATGACTCTACAAAGTAACATACACCTTTGTTTACGTTTGTGTGTTGCTCGGCAACCACTTTGTAGCAACCACAACTGTTTCTGAGGAGCTACATTGTTTGGTGGAAGAATACTGTTTTTATTAATATCATTACACTTTATTTGCTCCGTTTTATTGTGTGATATGTATATGGAATAACTGTTTTATAAAAGCAATAAGCCCCGGGAAGCCATGGTTTACAGTGAATTTATAACAGCTAAGGGGGTTTAACGCCGCTTCACGTCATACCTAACAACGCCACTTAGCTGTTATAAACTCACTGTAAACCACGGCTTCACGGGGATTATTGCTTTATTTTGTACCGCATGTATTTGATTTATTTCATGTAAGATATGAAACGAATGAGTGCTGCTGTCGGTTAAAGGGTTTGTGTTTCGCCAAGCTGCTATCAGACACTGAAAGTGAAGTGTGCTCCAGTGAACACACGGCGTGAAGGTCAGAGGTCACGAGAACCTCTCTCAAAGATCTCCTTCAGCACTCCTCTCTTGATCAGCTCCTCTCGGCTCTGACGCACCGACATCTTCCTCTCCAGAGCTGAAAACACACACAAACATGAGATGAAGAACATCTGGAGATCTTCAAACAAGACTTCATATGTTCATTTTGCTTCTCCAGTAAATGTGCCGTGATTTAAGGACGTTTAGATATTTAGACTGGAAAACAAGACTGCAGTGCATGCAACATTTAATGCCATGACTTTATGAATTCAAGACCTTTTAAGTCCAGCAGAAAGCTTATGTGTGTCTCTGTAACATCACGCAGACTGGGATTACTGAATATTCACATATTCCAATTGATTATCACAATGCATTAACTTACATACTTGATTTAGTATTTTACATTCATGGTATGCTTATCATTTTACCCCATTTTCAGTTTTGTGCCATAACAACTAAATGTGCAAATGTTCTCATTTATTCCTCCTAATATATCTGAATGAACATCATCATCTTCATCATCTTCATCATGAAACTCACGTCTAAGTGTTTTATGAAGGCTTCTGCTTTCTAAAGGTCAGTCGAGCTGAACCCAGAACACTCCCTCAACTGAGATCCTCACAATCAATAAATATGCATGCATGTACTTGTAAATTACAAAAACAAGTTTTCATTCCCCACTGACTGATATTTGCTCTTCTTTGAAGCATAAACTCACTCGATTTCATTTGATTGCGCAGAAAACTAGACTTCCTGTCTTTATTTTGCATCTCAAGTAAGTGTGTCTTGATTTAAGGATGGTTAGATATTTGCACTAGAAAACAGGACAACATACTCAGGGAGATATTCATGTTTTGCAGTGCATGCAACATATAATGCCACAATTTTATGAATTTAAGTCTTTCTGCTCAAAATGACCTTTTTAGGCTTAATTTATGGAAGGGCAAATTAAGACTTGAGGCCGACAGAAACCCTGCAGATTCTCTGCTCTATCATGCACACTGCTTTCTGAGACTAATCAAATATATTTGTTGTTTTTGGCAGATGCAGCATTATGTTCCTACTGAGCCTTTAAGGCAGGAGACTTTAATACAACCCGATCTTTTGTATGTTTATGACACATTATATGAAATTTCATTATAGCTCAAACAGTAGGTCACAGCACTAGCAACACCAAGGTCATGGGTTTGATTCCCAGAGTATGCATGAACTAAACCAGGGGTGTCCAAACTACGGCCCACGGGCCAAATGCGGCCCGTGGATGAATTTTAAGCGGCCCGCAGCTGTCTTAATAGTCTATGTTATATATGGCCCGCCAAGCATCATTTACAAAATAGGCCTATGCAGTTTCAAAATGTCAACACAAGATGGCAGCACTACATTTTAGACCAGATGTAGCAGTAAAACGCGAGTGATATCAATTTGATAACTCATATGCGCTCTCATTTCTTAGGAAAAGTTTGGACACCCCTGAACTAAACTAATGGGAATGCAATGCAAGTTGCTTTGGATAGAAGCGTCTGCCAAATGCATCAATCTAAATGTACACTACCAGTCAAGAGTTTTTGAATGTTTTTAAACAATTCTCTTCTGCTCACTAAGCATGCATTTATTTGATCCAAAATACAGCAAAAGCAGTAATATAGTCTTCAGTGTCACATGATCTTCAGAAATCATTCTAATATGCTGATTTGCTGCTCAAGAAACATTTCTGATTATTACTATTATTATCAATTTTTAAAACAGTTGAGTACATTTTTTCAGGATTCTTCGATGAATAGAAAGATCCAAAGATCTGCATTTATCTGAAATAAAAAGCTTTTGTATTCAAAATTGTACTGTTTCTCCTGTATTTTGGATCAAATAAATGCAGGCCTGGTGAGCAGAAGAGACTTCTTAAAAAAAAAAAAAAAAAACTTAAAAATCTTTGATGTGTGCATTTTATGTATTTTTGTTACTATATGGAATAAATGTAACAGAAACATGCATTTACCGGTCGACCTCTGCTTGAACGTCTCGCTCTGCTTCTTCCTCCACTTCCAGGGTTTGAAGAGGCGTCCCAGAGAGGCGAGCCTGCTCCTGCAGTGTGATCCGGACACCAGGGTCTCGGCGTGAACGGAGGCCAGGTTCTCCAGCTCCTCTGCTGCAGAGCAACACAGACTCAAGGTGATGCACAGCAACAAGCAGCTTCACACAGTTTCTGCCGCCTGTGCATTATTTCTCAGACGGCACATTTTGTGCCATTTCTGCGCCTACTGCTGAAACTGCAGCACACAGAAGTAGGTCAAATACAGTCCCCGCTGACACACATCACACACACCTCCACTACAGCAGACCATCAGCTCCAGCTGAACACACCACACTCGGGTCAGGAGAACACACAAGGACACACTGTGACGAGCACGTGCCGATCACATGCATTCACAGCGTATTTATAGCTCCATCCTAATCATATTAACACGTGTGACGCACATTAATCAAAGAGGAATTTAATGAAGAGGATTAAACCAGCGGATTACTATGACTGCACGTCTGCTGATGGTCCGACTGTATGATCTACACTGACGGAGCTCAACAGCACACTGCAAAACTGCAGCCTTACAGTCAGTGAAGCCCAAAACACACACCAGTCATCCATCTTAATCATGCCCTTTGAAATATGAAAACAGAAAGTTATGAGCCTTTAGAAGCTGCTCACATGCTGCAGTTTCACCTCAAAATTCATCAAGATACATGGTTTGGAGATGTGTGCTTTAAAGTTGAACTGTTTGATGGCAACACACACACACAACACACACACACAATACACACTCACAACACAAAGATGTCCATCTCAAACTCCTGTTCACATGATCGCTGTTGTTGGAAAACACAAATTGTCAAAATTAACTTGCTTTGTTGCCGTGGATCACTGTATGTATGAACGAACTAATGTTTTAATAAATTAATACGTAAAAACCTGTTCTACCCATGTTTTTAAATTGACATTGGCTTAAATATGCAACACTCATGGCGTCAGATGCTGAAAAAACTTGATTTTCCCTCAGTTAACCCTTCCCTAAACTAACTTTACAGTCTGCATGAACTAGAAGATGTGACTGACTTTACTACAGTACTGTGATGTACTTCTGAGCAAACTTTCAGATTTTGACTTAAAGCTTACAAAAAAAACTAGTTTTTAATTGTTTTAATTGAATTAATGGTTCACAACAAGACCAGTATTGTGTGTTAATCAACACAGCCAAAACACCTAGCTAAAGACATCTGTGTGACCATTTATTTTGCAACACAGAAGTAAGCTATTTTCCCTGAATGTGAGTGACTTCTGATCGATTAACAAAAATAACTAAAAAAAAAAAATAACAGTGCAGTAAAAATTAAAACTATTTGCACTACAAACTAGTATGCTTATAATTTACAATAATAAACCAAAAAAAGTATACACAAATATAGCAAAAACAGAACCGCAAACGAATCCCTTGGGCACGTCACTTCCTGCAGCGTTCACACAGCACAGAATCAGAAGCTCCAGAGTCAGACCCGTTTTTAAAAACCCAACTATTTGAACTTGACGCACCTTATTATAAACGCAACGCTCATGGCGCTTACGCGACGCACACGCGTCGGTCACATGTGTAGCCTACATTAGGCCAATCATTAAGAACAGTAACGCGTCCAGGGTTTAACGCGACGCTACGGCCAAAGACGCACAAGAACATACCGTTGTAAACCAAAGAATTAAACGAGAGTGAACAGCTCTCTGTCGCGTCGCGTCGCTGTGTTTGAAGCGCAATGAACGCGCTGTTTACTCACCGTGCTGCGCGTGGCTGCCGCGGCTGCAGTTGCTGCATATGTGTTTGATCTCTTTGCCGATGTGGCAGTGGATCAAGAAGGGCATGTTGTTGTGATGCTGCTGCTGCTGCGGATTCTTCTCCTTCCTGTAATTCAGAGACATCATCCTGATCAGGCTGAAGCCCTTGTTCTTCGGCGTCTCCATCGCGTTCCCCGCGGGTGCGTGACTGCCCCAGATGCCGTGCATGACTGTGTGATCCGCCGAAGACATGATGAGGATGATGACGATGAACGCGCTCTCAGTCTCGAGCTCAGATGAGATGCGCAGTGAACGCCGGTCCTTACGCCTCCTGTGGGCCACACACTGGAACTGCAGCTCAGGGCCGTGTCTCAAATCCCAGCGAGCTGCCTGTCTGCACAGCAGTTCTGAGCCCCAAACATGCCCAAAACGCGGTGTATGACTGCAGCTCACTAGGTTTAATGCACAGCTAATGAAACACTACCGTGATACACACACACACACACACACACACACACACACACACACGACATGTTACTGGATTATATTGAAGCTACTGTGATGTTTGCCTGCACTCAAATACACAAACGTGTTCAGCATACTAACATAGCAGTCCCGCTATTTCCGCAGCATGTGAATTTTCAGTATGCATGGAATATATTTGCTGAAATGTGCAGTACACTATGTGCACTACTGTATCCCACAGTGCAACGTACTTGACTTGACCTTCTATTTCCAGTGTGACAACTGAGCTGGAAGTGTAGCACCTGTGATTATTTTAACATCTTTTTTGACTCAGACCGCCAAAAGTGAAGATGCTTTACACAAAACTGGATAAAAATTGTAAATAATCTGATCTAAATAATCTAACATTTCTGTTATAATCTCATGTGACAACAATGTTGCATACTACTTTGAAGCATTTGTAAGTGTTTGAAGCGTTTATTGATGCGTACTGCATACTGCCTCCACCCTGCTGAAAAAAAAAACAGACATTATCACAAAATTTGTAATGGATTCACTGGTTATGATGGGAATTGTACTGGTTTTAATGGAAACTGTAATGGACCCTGTGGGTCTCTGCTGGTAATTGGTCGCCTTCTATTGGTGGCTTGTTAAAACCAATAAATCCTAATGGAATATGTCCCAAAACACACTACTGAAAACCATATTTTAAATGGTTTTAATGGTTAAAAGTTGATGGTTTGTTATTGCATTTGTAGTGGAAACCATTAGAATTTCTGTGATGGTTTCTATAGTTTTTTTCAGCAGGGCAAATAGTGGTATTCTAACATTTCAAATGGTAGTATGCTACATTAGTATGCTACATACAGTTGTTGCGACTTGACCTCCTGTTTAATTTGTTTGGTAGTGTTATCATAAATAAAAATGTAATTTATGTAAAATGTCAATTTCTGAAATGCAGACATTTAAGACATCTAAATTGTAGTGTTGGCCAAATCCTTTATAAAATCTATCCGGTTAACTCCTCCATTTCTAAATACTGCTTTCCGATCCGGACGAGTTGGAATACCGAATCCACCAATAAACAGATCGCTGTCCAAGTCCTGCTCCGTAAGCCAAGACGCTGTGAATGCCACGACGCAGCTGTCTCTATATTCCCGGAGGAAGTGTTCCGTTTTATTCACAAATCTAAATCTACTACTTGTCGTTTGGATCCTATTCCAACGCATTTGGTTAAAGCCTGTTTACCTTCTCTCTCTTCTTTAATTAGTAATATCATACACTCTTCGCTTGTTTCTGGTATTGTTCCATCTGTACTCAAAACTGCTGTGATAACTCCTATACCTAGGAAACCGGGGGCTGATTCTAGTAACTTTGATAATTTGCGCCCCATCTCAAATCTATCGTTTCTCTCTAAAATATTGGAAAGGGTTGTTGCTGCACAGGTTCAGGATCATCTTTTGGATAATAGCTTATATGAGCAATTCCAATCAGGTTTCCGTCCACTTGAGACTGCATTAGTTAAGATTTCCAATGACTTGTTGTCTGCTGCTGATTCAGGACTTCTATGTATACTTATCTTGCTAGATCTGAGTGCAGCATTTGACACTATTTCGCACAGTATTTAGTTGGACAGATTGGAGTCTATTGGAATTATGGGTACTGCTCTGACCTGGTTTCAATCTTATTTAACGGGTCACACTCAATTTGTGCAGTTTACATCAAAGCCTTCATACCTTACTACTGGGGTTCCCCAGGGCTCAGTTCTCGGACCTATTTTATTTATTATTCATTTATTATAGAAGTTGGGTATTCAGTTTCACTGCTATGCCGATGACACCCAACTTTACCTGTCCTCCAAACCTACCTCTACGTTTCCTCTGTCTATCCTCTCAGACTGTGCAGCTGAGATTAAAGAGTGGTTCACATCGAATCTTCTGAAACTAAATAGTAGTAAAACTGAAATTCCCCTAGTTGGCTCAAAAACCAATCTGGCTAAGTCTAATTGTTCTTCAGTAAATATTGATAATTTTCCAGTGCCTGTCTCCAAACAGGTTAAAAGTTTGGGTGTCATCTTTGATAGTACATTGTCATTCGAAGCACATATAAACAGTGTCATTCGATCTGCATATTTCCATATACGTAACATTAATCGACTTCGTTCTGCTCTCTCAGTAAGGAGCACAGCGATTCTTGTTCATGCTTTAGTCACTTCTCGAATTGATTATTGTAATGCTCTCTTTTATGGTCTACCTTCAAAACTTCTTTACAAACGTCAGTTAGTACAGAATTCAAGATAGTACAGAAATCAATATGGACGTGAGCGGTGGCTACGATCAAATCTCATGTCAGGTCTCAGCTCGTGTATGCAAGTTTTTGAGTTAGCTGAACTTGCATACAGCATAGTAAAGCCCAATCCTAATTCTATTTTAGACCCCTTCACCTACCCCTTCCCCTTGTCCCTAGAAACACACCGTTTGAACTGTCTCTTCTTTAGTGTAGAAACACATCATGATTCTCTGAGCGATTCATCTGTACTCCAGTGTGACGTCATGTCTTGTGTAACGACGTCTCTGCTCTCTGTCAACACAGATGCATTAGCCATAGTCATTCAAAAAGAAGAGCTGGACTCTCACCCCGAGCACACAGATGATTCTTAAGGTCTTTACTGTTGCACTCAGTACTGAGCTTTATGATGAATTAGATATAGTGCATGGCCTTGGGAGTAGATGAAGACATAAGGCTGATCTGACTTTTCTCTTCATGGCGTTCAGCAGGAACAAAGCCACCAGAAGTCATTTGTGTTCAGTGACAATGGAGAAAGCATGAGAGACAGGCAGTGAGCACTGCTGATGTGATTTACATTTATGCATTTAGCAGACTGTTTGATCCAAAGCGACTTACAATAGAGGAGCGTGAGCAATTTGGCTCAGAGCCAGTAATATTCCTAATGCATGCCATGTTTATTAGATTGCTAGATTAGGAAACAAGCAAGAGCAGGGATTCAGAGAAGAGAAACCGTTTTTGAGCAAGTGCATTGGTTTAAGGGTATGCAGTGGTGATGTGCTTGAGAAAAAGTGTCTTCAGCTGCTTCTTGAGAGATGGTCAGAGCAGATCGGGTGGAGGTTAGAAGCTCACTCCAGCAGAGAGGAGCAGAGAGAGTGAAGGGTCTGGAAAGCATCTTTGTTTCTCGTGTGAAGGAACAAGACATCGCTCATTCAGTGACCTGAGCTGCAGCAGCGAGTATATACTTGGAGGAGCTGTTCCAGCAGCAGCAGCCATGAAAACCAATGTCAAAGCCTTCAATTCAAACTTCAACAAAATCATGTGAAAATTTGGACTTTGTTTTAGGGGTTCAAAACAACTTTCTGGAAGAGTCCCAAAACTCAAGACCTCAAGTACAGAGGACCTGTGATGTGTTGTACCTGCATGTGTTGTTGATGACATTACGGGCGGACGACGTATGGCAGGGTTACCCAGGGCTACTTTTAAACTGCTGTTGCGGGTTATTTTTATTACGGGTTAAAGGTTGGACATATTGCATAAATTATATTTGACTGAAATGCTTGTATTAAAAATATTTTACTTTACTCAATTTATACTCAAGTGATGATGAAGCTGTGCTGCTGATGAGACGGAGTGAGGATGCTGTGATGGAGAGGCACTGCTAGAGTTGCCGTCTCTATGGTAACAGACTGACGGTCTCTGCAGGACTGTTGCTAGTGAATTAAAAAACAAAGAATCTTATGTCATCCGCACAAGTATTTTCCATCCATTAAAAGCTTATTAGGCATACCTTGAATTGTTTGTAATTGTACATTTTTTTAAAAGTTAGGGTTAGTTAGGGTCAGTGTTGGGAGTAACGCATTACAAAAGTAATAATATTACAGTAGTATATTACTTTTTGCTGTAACGCAGTAATATAACGCATTACTAATACAATTTGGGTAATATTATTACTCGGGGTTAGGGTTGAATTTCACCATAAGTTTTTGTTAAAGGGATAGTTCACCCAAAAATTACAATTTTGTCATCATTTACTCACACTCATGTTGTTCCAAACCTGTATGAGTTTCAGTCTTCTGTGGAATGTAAAAGAAGATATTTTGAAGATAACCAAACAGTTGATGGTAGCCATTGACTTACACACACACACTCACACACACACTCACACTCACACACACACACACACACACACACACACACACGCTTTAATTGGATATTAAAGTGGGGCGATAGAGAAATCCTCTCATTAATTTGTGCCATGCGGAGTGATGTCATTATAATCTGTGCAGAAGCTGGTTTCCAGCCTCACGCTGCTGTAGATGTGAGATCCGGTGTACCGACGAAACATGCTACCTATCAGATTGTGCTACCAAAAATATATTTGCATTGTTTTAAGGGTAAGTTTAAGGTAGGGGTAGGTATGGACCCTGGATCCTCAAAGCACATGAATAAGATGCTGATAGGTAGCATTTTTCGCTATTGATTTGTGCTACCTATCTTTTTAATGGGAGGTAGCACAATCTGAGCGGGTAGCACAAATCGTCAGAACACCGGCTCGCTGCACATTACATGTCACATCGCTCTCTTCTGCATTTACGGCTCATGCCAAAATTCATTCCTCATATTCCTCTATGGCACATGTCATATTCTCTTTCCATCTTGCTATTCAGAAAACAAGTTGCCAATGGAACGGCCATGAGATTAATAATAGAGTGTTTTGAAGCTGCACAACTGTTTTTCCTCACACATGCTCCTCAAACTGCTCTATTAAACACACTTCATCCTCACACAGTTCACACAGTTTTACAGTAAATTGAGAGAATAATCAACAATGTACTACAATGAGAATTCACAATGAGTTCATCTCAAACTATACTTACTGCAGTCAAACTAAACATTTTAATGTCTCAGATTACTGTTGCTAGTGAGAATGTCTGAAAGCTAAAAAGACCCAGTGTGATGAGAAACGCTCTTACAGCTAACAGGGAACACCTTCAGACTAACGTTCTGGCAAAGTTATGAGCAAATATTCTTCCACTAACGTTACTAGAACGTCCTTTCAAAGTTAGGCTACCTGGTCTTTAATAATGTTTTCAAAACATTAGCACAAAAACACTATTTATACATTGTTTATGGAATGTTTGACTGAAACATTTTAGTAGAACTTTTGTTGAACTTATGATGGTTCAGGGAAGATTTAAAAGTAACATTCCCATAATGTTTCTTAAATATTAAAATGGAACGTTCACCCAAAAATGAAAATTCTGTCATCATTTACTCTGTGTCATGTTGTTTCAAACCTGTGTGAGTTTCTTTCTTCTGTTTAACAAAAAAGAAAATACGTCCCCTTTGATGTCCTTAGTATCCCCCCCCATACTACAGAAGTCAATGAGGACCAGCAGCGGCTTGAAGAAAGAAACTCATACAGATTTGGAACAACGTGAGAGTAAGTAAATGATGACAGGGAACGTTCTCAGAACATTCTGGCAAGGTTCTCTCAAAGTTATTCAAACGTTCTTCCAGTACCATTTCTACAACCTTCATTCAGAGTTATCTGGCTCGTGCAACTTCTTCCCTGAAATGTTTTAGTTTGTTTAATGTAAATGTATCTACTTGTTTCTTAACGTTCAGCGATCATTCAAAACTAAAGTTCTTACAATATTTGCAAAATTATAGAATGGAATGTTCGCTTAATTGTATATAGCAAAAACAAATGAGAAATACCACTTTCGTAACTTAACCGGAACATTAGCAAAACGTTCTTAGAACACATTTTTGTTAATAGCTGGGCTGAAATGAGTAAATCATAACCTTGCAGTTTCTAGTTGTGTTGAGAGCAGATTTCTGTGCTTTAGGTTCTTATTGTGTTCATGATTAATGCACATCTGTGATGACAGAACAGTATTATGATGCAGTAATGGCGCTGTCTGAGCCCGTGTGAGACCAGAGCGTGTGTAACTACAGTCAGCACACTCACACACACTCACACGCTCACACACACACACACACACACTCATACACACACACACACACACACACACAGACACTCACTCACA